TTATATGATGAGATTTTGTACCTAGTGGTAATTGTTCAACACAATACCTCCAATTAGAAACCCAGGCGTATGAAATAGACAGAAATTAAAACATTTCAGTTAGTAAACGATATACAGACCTGACTCATCAAGAAAATATCAAATCATATTTAGAAAGATTACGTGGAATTTGATTGGATCACCACACAGTAGGTAAGTCCAAGGTTTCTATGAAGTGAAAATAATCCCCACAACCCAAGCTGTTATACTACATTTTTAACTTGTAAACATCTTCACAAACGACAGCGTTAAAAATGAAACTATGAATGTGTTTGAGAGGTTGTCCACGATGGTTCTTCAAGTTATTGTCATCAATAAGTTTTAAATACTCTGAGCGATAAACACCAGTGAATAGGGGTTTAACACAAAAGACTCGAGCGTAAGACTACAGATTGATGTTTTAGGTTTTCGTTGTATACTGGCCAACTAAGTCTCCTTATCTTTTAAAATTTAAGGATGCTACACCCCACCCTCAATAATTGGCAGGACAGAACTACCAAGGCTATGATTTTGCGCGATGGAAACTACTATGTAACTGGCCGAAAATTAGGATTTTAGTTAACAATGCAAGTATGGATCCAAAGGTGTTTCGAAATGCTAAACAAATGATTTTAAGTGGTAGATAAACATGTAGGAGTCATATTTCAAACAATACTAGCAATAGTGCGCCATATGGACTGAATTCATGCCTTGATTTATGCTCCCTATATGTATAAACCTAGATGTTTTATAATCAAAAGTTGTATGTTTCACGCCGGGGGCATTATGCATTAAAATGGAACTGGACAGTTCGATGAAATAAAGATTCAAAAAAATAATGGCCTAATACTTACAGATACACGAAAACCAGTTTGACAATATAAACGCTTTTGGAAAGTATGCGCAAATCTAGTTGGAATGGACGTCTAAGCGATAAAGGGTCCTACACAGAAGTCAGTAGAATTAGTATCAAACGTAGGTCAAGGTCATCCAATATCCAATATATTTTTTCAGTAGCTAATAAAAAACAATTAATTTCTTTACATTCGATTCCTGTTGTTTCAATACGGTTCTTGATGCTCCGTAATGTCCAGTAGTCTAGCCACTCCACTACCCTAATTCTAGTCAGTTGACAGTTAATTGTTAGTTTGTATGTCGGACTATATGATGCCAACATGAACTAGACGATGTTTGAATTTTCTCAGATTTTGTCTACTGCAGCACAAACCACACCTTGAAAAAACGGCTCCTCAATTGTTCAAAAATAATTTGCACTACAGATACATTAGATGAAAATGAATACTCTTGACTAAGACATTGATTTCATACGGATATCCACAAAATTTTATAAATAGGAGTATGAATCAGTTTAGACGAAAGCCACTCTTTTATTCTTCGGAAAGGAAAAGTGTTTAAATATCCTAACTATTTAGAGATGAATCATATAGTTCGATCATAATATAGAGACTAAAAAGACCCATCAAGAAAAAATACAATGCTGCTAAACGGATTTTAATTGAAAAGACCAAGCCCATGATTACACGTAGGCGCAGACATTGCCCGAATGATTACATCACATCACGTTGTGTTTATCAAATTAGATGTTTATATGGACACACATACACAGGGAGGATTACACATACTTAGCGATCAGCGGCTATGGAACATCTACTTAAATGGCTTCAAAACCAGTTCACGTCAAATGGTACGAAAATATGGGTAGTAGAATAGTGTCTGACTTCTTAACGTTTATTCTTTGAAACTATCACCTATTTTGTTGCTCGTCTATCCACTCGATTCGGGTGATTTATGTCTCTTTTAAGAGATAGGGATGCAATGAAATTGTGTACTTCAAAGAGAGTTAAGAACAGTTGCAGGAAGATTGCACGAAGTTGTTTTCTCCTAAACTGATGAGTTGCATTAGCCTTCGCTGCATCCGCTATAAAGTTTTAGGTCGCATCCTGGCCGTCTGTGGTTTGTAGAACGAGGAGACCCGAGGAGAATTTCGAGAGCAGAGTTTCATTGAGGATGTTTACTGTGTCCATGGAACAGAGTGTTCATGACATGACTAATTAAGCTTTAACATGTTGTCGACTGCTCATTCCTCTATTATAGTAAGGACCTTTTGAAGTTCAGTTAAATCCCCTCCGCTTCTTGTGGACCTCTAAATCTTTGCTTCGTTTGTACGCTGTTCAGCGGCCCTATGCTATTAGAAGTTTATGTGCACACGACTTGCCCTCCATAAATCCATCTTGACCTCAATGGAGGATTTTATTTCTATCCATGTACTATTCAGTTTGCTCAGCCACCAGTACTTCCATAACCTTCTATTGTATTGGTAGTAATGTGACTTGCCTGTAGTTGGCTGAGTCTTGATTCCATTCAACAGGGAGTTAGTGTGACTCCAGTGAATGCCTGAATAGGTCTCATTCCGGTGATTCGAGTGTTTTGGCACACTATTCAAAGATTACAGAACGTGGGAACTTTTCTGGGAGTATGGGGTAGAGTTTTCTTGGCTCTTAGTGAGGAGTATATCAGATGTTCCCCAGGTCATCACACGCCACTAGGTATGTGAAGTACATTGAACTGGTACTTTCTTACTTACTTACGCCTGTAACCCTCAATTGAGCATCGGCAGCCCACCAGTTTTCTCTAACCATTGAACTTGCAGGTGCTTGGTTTAATTAGTTAGTAAAGTTGGGGATACAGATCCTGGTCATCTCTACATAGGTAAGATCTGTGCCGCTTGGACCTATGGCAGCACAAACACCCTGATTCGTATCTTTAGTTTTACTCGTGAAACTTGAGAGATATTTTGCGTTTGCCCGTATTTTAGCTGCTAGCTTTGTCTGGAAGCCTCTCCCACTGCTTCAAACTTTGACAGTGTATCTGTTTTCAATGCCACGTAGAAACTACTGTCAGAATTCTTCAGGGGAACCTTCCACATGTGCCTGGCTCTCCTTCTCACTTGCAGCAAGCCTTCAGTGCCCCTTCTAACTCATGTTCTTCCCTTTCCAAGTGCGATTTGCCTACGGCACGTTGTGTAGGGCAGCATTAAAAATGACATCTCTCACTGCTCGCCAGTGATCATCTACTGGTGTTAAGTCTTTGAACTGGTTGTTAGTATACACCATCACTCCACTTCCTGCTTTGTTCACCCTATCGCATCGAAAAAGGGTCAAGCCTTGCAACCGTATTCGGTTATCTGCAGTGTTGGGGGATTGCCATGTTTCAAGTAAGATCATGATCTTCAGAACTATCTGAAAACGTATATTCCTGACCTCTTCCGAATTACCATTTGGTCCTCTTATATTGCTAGAGAGGCACTTGATGGTTTGTACCATGTGTAGAATTCTTTTTGAATGTTTTGTGTTTTTGGAAAATCCCTCCATGTTTACATATTTTTGCTATGACCTGATGGACTTTTTCTCTTGACATTTTTGGTATTTTATTTGATTCCAATTTGAGATTTTATCATTGTATATTGTTATTCTTTCTATATTTTGTACTTATATTGAAGTTTTTGTGTTTGCTTCTGAACTGTACATATATTGTTTAAATTTGATATAATATGGCTACCGCCACATTTTTGGATGGACGCGGTGGCTGCTGGACTTAGTGTCACTTACTAGCTATTGTGCTGGATACTCTACGGAGTAAATTAACCCTGGAAGAAACACAAATACCGTAAGACTCTGTATTTCCATTTTATAATAATAAAGAGACGTTTTCTCCTAGAATTTTGCCCTTTTGATTTGGTCGGGACCCGGAAATAGGAGGAACGTACAGGAGTGTTTCTATTGGAAACAATTAGGACAGCCACCGTCGAAATAAATCTACACCATGACCTGATGCAGTTCTGAAGCGGAAACAAGCTGATCAAACCAGGTCGACCAGCTTTGTGAGAACTGTCCGCTGAAGGGATTTTGCTTGTACCGTTTGTTCAATCGGAGAGACCGCGGTCCACACGCTGTTCCATGAGATATCGATCGATGTGAATTGAAACGAGTGAGTTAATTATGTGGTCACTTTGTTATTGACTTACTGTCCTAGGTTGGCTCTCACAACATCCAATTTGACTAGAGAAATAATTCCTGCTTCTGCACAAAGCCTGAAGCACCTCATTTAAGCCTTCCCGATTTCTGAAGTCCACAGCTATCGGACACGGAGAGTTAGTGGTCGTGGGATGTAACAGACGAGGCTGCCAGAAACGCGAGACAAGTAATGATTGAGGCATATTCCGAAATAACCGCAATGGATTATTGACACTTTTATCAAATCATATGTGAAAGGATCAAACATACTACAACAAGGCAAATCATGAGATCAATACCATTGATGACCTACAATCTTTATTGCTTCCGTAAAGGTATCCACCTCATGAAATAACGATTAGAATTTAATTTCAAAACACACTAAGTTGTGATCATCAACGTGGGTGCAGACTTTCATATGAACCTCAATTTAGGTTTCTCTCTTGATAAGCTAATCTTCACACACTGAGTCAAATAGATATGTTAGCACATAATCAGCATACACCAGAACGGTATAAAAAGCACAAGGTCACATACAAATCAAGATCATACTAAGGCTGTGATTTACAATTCACCATCTAATTAATAAAATATTAGCGCCCTGATTCTTCAAACACAACCATGTTACGACGTAACTCAACTTATCGCTAAGAATGTCTTGCGTAATGTACATAAATTATTTCAACCTTCCAGATAACATACTGTTTCACCCATACTTTGAGTCCTAAATTAGGCCAAATTCCATAAATCGATAGCTTCTCTTCTCTTACTCTACCTACCTCTTAGTCCAGAAAAGTTCATAAGTCAACCTGCACTAAATTCGCTGTTTCAAGCAAATGTTATTCATATACCGGGCATAACACAGATCACATTACACCATAGAATAAGAAAATACATTTATAGATGAATAGGTGGGACTGTATATAATAAACTAGATTAGGAATAGTAGATCACACGACAATAGTTAATGAATTAATCGAAAGATCATAATTAACATGTAATGATCTAGAAGGAAAGAAGAATCAATATACATTAAGGTCTCACACACAGTTAAAATCCATCAATCAGTCCTGCAAAATACCAATGCTCCAATCTCCTTTGGTAATAACAACAATAATGGCTCTGTTCAATGTTATATGTTCAATACAATATGAAATTCTCAACATGGTATATTTCAACAAGTTTCATTAACAGAACAAGTAATGATCGTCATCCGTGTTGGAAGTAAACAGTTCAGGCAAGCATCAACATCAACATTGTTTAAACATTCATTATTCTGTCACAACAGAATGTCAGCCACCATGATATTTCTCATTGTATCTTGTGAAAAGTGATAAAGTGTAATATCTTTCATAAGATATGAACATAACTCTGATTTGGTTATTCTCACTAATATTGTTATTTCAAAATTATCTTTTTATCCTTTTTCATTTTAGACTATGAAAGATAAAAGTAAAAAAACAAAAATTGTACACTTTGAATGTTAAAAATTATTTTAACATTTAATTTATTGTAAATGATCAGTCATTAATTAAAACAAGTTAACATTTTACACTGATTATAGTATGTAAATTTTGAACCTGTTGTCATAAGCAGCACAATATCCAATATCTTTTTCACGAGCTAGTGTAAACCAATTTGATTTCTTCGCGCTCGATTCTTGCTCTTTCTGTACGGTTCCAGGTGTTCGGTAATGTCCAGTGGGTGGAGGTTTAGCCACTCGACTGTCTAATTCTAGTCCGTTGGCAGTTGGTTGTGAGTTTGTATGTCTCGGGATTTGAATGAAATGTTTGTTTCAGGGCAGTAGGGTTTCTGGATACTAGCAGCCGTCATATTACCAAACCGGAGATCAGTTAGTTGCAATGTGGATAGTAATAAGGGTAATAAGGATAAAATTCTAGTGATAGTATGAGTAAAATTTCAGAACTGAGTAATGTATAGATGAATTTAGTTTGTTAATTGGTGGTGAAGATTGCGAGAGAGGACCGAAATGTAAGCAAGGGAGAGGAGACAGAGATAATAGGTGAGATAGATTAATTGAGTGATCTGAGGAGATGCTAATGATAACAACTAGCAGGTGTCAAGATATACATCATGAATAGCTTGTCCAAGAGGGAGATGATAGTCCGTATGTGAGTACGTGATTATCAAGTCTCTTCTGAAAGCAATCCACTGAGGGGGCTGTAGTTACCTCGGCTGAGAGAGCATTCCAAGTTGCGACGACTCGCAATGAGAAAAAGTGTGCATGAATCTGAGTATTCGCTCTTTGGTGTGCAATCTTTCGAGGATTGCCTCGAGGGGAGTGGTGGTGATGTATCGGTAAGATGCTCACATTGGGATGGTTTAGCGTGTTTAATACAGACAGTGTCTTCTCTCTCTCTCTCTCTGTTATTAAATCAACCTACATACTTTCGACTACTCATTTCACAAGGTAAACAATTGAGATAATTTGTAGTGAAAATAGTTGAATCCCTAACAATTAATCATTTTTATAATCAAAAAAGTATTTACTCAGTCATAAGAGAATGCAGTAAATTTAATTTACCACATCTGAGAATATTTGGACGTGGGGTTGGCGACCTCATCTCGCTGAAAACTAACTCACAAAAAACGCTAACCAGAAAAAATAATTGGAGCCCTGGGAGTTAGAGGATCTTTATTCAGAATAGTTATAACATCTCATAATGAGTGCTGAGTTCCTTTGAAAGTAACGAAGCCGATGACCCTTTTGATAACCAGAGAGAGAGCAATCACTGTTTTAGGTACATGGAATATTTGAACTATGTGGGAGACCGGAAGACTATTCCGAAAAACAGCAGAAATGAAGAGATACGACCTGGAGGTGGTTGTGATTGATGGCACACAGTGGACACAGGTATGTCTGAGACAACACAACATGCGCCAACCAAAATGACTCTTGATGGAGATGCCTTGAAGGATGTAAAAACCTTTACACATAACTAAGCAGCATCATTTACGAGCAAGGTGGATCCGATGTAGATGTGAATGTGCGGACCGGCAGAACAACGGCTGCATTTCTACAATTGAACAATATCTGGAACTCGAAACAACTATCAACTAACACTAAAGTCACTATTTCCAATACAAAAGTCAACACAGTTCTACTGTATGGGGTGGAAACTGGGAGAACTACCAAAGCTATCATCCACAAGATACAAGTATTTATTAACAGTTGTCTGCACAAAATACTTGGAATCCCTTAGCCAGACACCATCAGTAACAACCTACTGTGGCAGGAAACAAACCGGAAAATCAGAAGGAAGTGCCGAAAATGGATAGGACACACATTGAGCCCTCAATTGGAACCCTCAAGGTCAAATGAAAAGAGGAAGACCAAGGGATACATTACGCCGAGAAATGAAGACAGACATGCGAAGAATCAACAGCGATTAGACAGAACCGGAAAGGGTTGTCCATAACAGAGTATGTTAGGGGAATACTTGTCGGTGGCCTATGCTCGATTCTGGCTAACAGGCATTAGTAAGTACAATTGAGAAGAAAAATAGTGAATTTTTAGAGGAAGAAATAATTACTTATCATTTTTAAATTAAACAGTTTATGAAAGTCGTTTTAACTTATAATTAATTGATATTCATTACGACCTGAAGCTGGAAATGTGTATCGCTGATCAATTAAAACCTAGTGTTTTAATGCATTCAAAGTCACATTGGAGGATATATAAGTACTGAATTCAACCCGTCCCTGAATCGGTGGTCTGTGAACTGTTGAGGAGTTCCATAATGACCATAAGAAATCAATATCCAATGCTACTCTGTTTTCAGTTTTATCCTTGAGTTTCAGTTTTATCGTGGCCACTACAAAGTGATGATCTGAAGTTATATCAGCTCCTATCTTGGTTCTCTCGTCATCCACGGTTCTTCTGAACTCTTTATTGATACAGATGTGATTGATTTGGTTCTATGTCACGTGATCCAGTGAAATCCATGTCTCTGTGTGGTGCCACCTATGACCAGCTTGTCGAAGGTAAATAGGTCTGCAACTCTCTCACTATTTTCTTCCCTTCCTACCATGATATTTTCATATTCAGTGTTGCCCATGCCAACCTTGGCACTTGGGTCTTCCATCAGAATGGTCAAGTTCTCTGGTGAACATCTGTCGACGATTGACTACAGCCTCTCATAGAATTGATCCTTAACGTTTTCATTGTAGTCACTGGTAGGTGCACAGCATTGGATGATGTTCAGTGCAATCCCATCTTTCTGTATTTTGAAGGAGTCTTTCGTAATCGTGGGCCTATGAGATTCCCCCCATCTTATCCTTGCTTCTCCTTGTGTATGTGAGGCATTCTCTTCTTCATGGTTGGATTATAACAGCATCTCTCCTGAAGCTAGTTTTTTTTTATCCGACCTACATCAAATATATTTCACTGATTCCAATTACTATCAGCAACTTGATTAGTTCTCCCTAGTCTCCCCCACATTGTACAAACATTTCATGTACCTACACATTAATGGTTGCTCTGGTTGTCAGAAGAGGCACCAGCCCCTCATGACTTTTGAAGAAACTCGCATTTCTTTATGCGATGTGATAATTCTTGATAAATGAGGACTGTCGAACTACCAAGGCAAATTTTCAATGACTTGAACTATTTTTTTCTGCCTAGAGTTTCTTTCTTTCAGTGAGTTAGTTGGTGGTGTTCTACTGAATTCGGTCGTTAATCCCATGCCCAACCTTCCTCCTTTCTTTGGATGGTTGGTGTAGTACACATATTGTCGTAAAAGTAACACTGTGGTGCTGTGGTGCGAACTACTTATAAGTAGTATATGACGCGAGTGTCAACGTAAAGTCTGGTAGCATAATATGGGGTGAAGATCAAGAAAGGAAGAGTTAGAAAACAATGCAATTTGTATGAAACGCATGAATAGTGACAATGGAGTGATGTTTTGCAACAGGAACAGTCCAGTTCCATAGGATGAACTGATCTTTTGCAAATGAACAATTGACGATATGGTTTTCCGATTTTACTGAGTAACTCTGTAATTTTCGTTAAATACAATTCGGTTGCCCCCACCTGTGTTCTCATTCACTACATTTGGTGTCGCTGCCTACTCGAAGGAAGGGGCTCCCGTGGCCGAAGGAGTTGCAGGGCGGAGATTGGCGGAGCTTCCTGGAGGAGTTTGAGGCCACGGTGGAGCTGGTGGGGGCTTGGGGCGGAGTTGACGGTGCGACGCTGCAGGGAGGTGAGGCGAAGGCGGTACACGACGGCCTGGACGGTGCCACCGAGGAGACGGCGTGGGAGACGGTCACCGGGCGGCTGATAATGGAGTTCGACAGCCCAGCGGACAGGGAGGAGGCGCCGCAGCGGTTCCGGTTGGCGCGGCTGTCGGCCGATGGTGACCTGTTGGTGCTTGCTGTGGAGCTCACCGAATTGCCCCGTGAGTAATGGGCGGGGCACAGTCTTTGGCGTCGCAATTTATCGAGTGTGTGCCTGCCGCCGTGTTCCAGCATCGGGAACTTGTAAACGCTACACGTTGGATAGATGCCGTATCCATTCCAGACCAGTGATCAAGAACGATGACCGAAGTGGTAATCCAGCATATTGTAGCGTGTCACGGAATACGGAAGGTGATATTAACTGACCAGGGGCTCTGTTTTGAAGGACTACGACGACAGCTTATTAAAAGGGGGGACGAGTGTGGTGCTGTGATGCGAACTAATTATAAGTAGTATATGACGTGAGTGTCAATGTAAAGTCTGGTAGCATAATATGGGGTGAAGATCAAGAAAGGAAGAGTTAGAAAACAATGCAATTTGTATGAAACGCATGAATAGTGACAATGGAGTGATGTTTTGCAACAGGAACAGTCCAGTTCCATAGGATGAACTGATCTTTTGCAAATGAACAATTGACGATATGGTTTTCCGATTTTACTGAGTAACTCTGTAATTTTCGTTAAATACAATTCGGTTGCCCCCACCTGTGTTCTCATTCACTACATTTGGTGTCGCTGCCTACTCGAAGGAAGGGGCTCCCGTGGCCGAAGGAGTTGCAGGGCGGAGATTGGCGGAGCTTCCTGGAGGAGTTTGAGGCCACGGTGGAGCTGGTGGGGGCTTGGGGCGGAGTTGACGGTGCGACGCTGCAGGGAGGTGAGGCGAAGGCGGTACACGACGGCCTGGACGGTGCCACCGAGGAGACGGCGTGGGAGACGGTCACCGGGCGGCTGATAATGGAGTTCGACAGCCCAGCGGACAGGGAGGAGGCGCCGCAGCGGTTCCGGTTGGCGCGGCTGTCGGCCGATGGTGACCTGTTGGTGCTTGCTGTGGAGCTCACCGAATTGCCCCGTGAGTAATGGGCGGGGCACAGTCTTTGGCGTCGCAATTTATCGAGTGTGTGCCTGCCGCCGTGTTCCAGCATCGGGAACTTGTAAACGCTACACGTTGGATAGATGCCGTAT